ATCTTTCTCCCGCGGAGCAGCTGGTAGTTTCGAACCGCTGACCTTAAGGTTCGCAGCCCGATTCGTAACCACTACGCTACCAGAGCTCCTTAGTTATGCTTTATGTTCTCTCAGTCAGTCTAGATCATTTCAAAGAACCTGCTTTTGCTTCCATTGATTATCCTTATTGTCTCTTTATTTTCTGTTACGGATACCTGCTCTTATCTTTATTGTCTTCATTCTAGTTAAGTCTTTAATTTCTTTTTCTGTGTTAGCTTCTTAAGGTAGAAGTTTGACCCTTGATTTTCCACCTTCTCTTCTGTTGTAAGTATGTAGACCTGTTTCCTTTTTAGCACAGATTTGCCTATATCACACAGACTCCAAATGTTGTACTTTCATTATTTAAAATGTTTTCTAAGGTAATCTGTGAATTCTTCTCTAGCCCCTCAGTTATTTGGAAGTGTATTACGTACTTACCAAATGTTGTTGTTGTTAGAGCTGCAGAGTGGGCTCTGCCTGGCAGCGACCCTGTGCGCAACAAAACAAAAACCTGCCCAGTCCTGTGCCAACCTCACCGTTACTGGTATATTTGAGCCTATTGCTGCTGCTACTGTACCACTCCATCTCGCTGGGGGCTGTTCTCTCATGCTAACCCTCCACCTTACCAAGCAAGATGTCCTTCCTTCTCCAGGAACTGATCCCTCCTGAGAATGTATCAGAAATGTGATCCATCCTGGCTTCTAAGTAGCTTTCTGGCTGCACTTTTTCCAACAGAATTGATTGTTCTTTTGTCAGTCCATGGTACTTTTAATATTCTCTGCCAACACGATAAATCTAATATATCATCTATGGTATTATTTATTTATAATCCAACTTTTGCATGTGTATGAGGTTATTGAAAGTGGCTTGAGTTGGACACACCTTAGCTCTGAAACTGACATCATTGCTCTTGAAGAGATCGTGTGCAGCAGATTTGCCTAATGCAATACGTCTTTTGATATTTTTGACTGATGCTTCCCGGAATGTTGATGGTTGATGCAAGCAAAATGAAGTGTTTGACAACTTCAGTCTTTTCTCTATTTGTCTTGATTTTATTAATTGATCCAGTGGTGAAGATTTTTGTTTTCTTTACATTGAGGTGTAACCCATTCCTTGGTTCATACTTTGTACATTCCATGTCTGATTATTAATGGATATTTATAGTGGTCTTTGATCTTCATCAGTAAGATTTGTAAGTCCTTTTTGCTTTCATCATGTAAGGTTGTATCATCTACATATTGCAGCTTTGTTCATGAGTCTTCCTCCAACCCTGATGGCATGATTTTCTTCATATAATCAACTTCTTGAGGTATTTGCTTTGGAAGTTTGCTGCCAGTGTTCTGTGGCAACCGTTTTCTAATTATCATCAGAAAAATTTCACTTGCATGTGATGAGTTCCGCATTCTGTTGGGTCACCTCTCTTTGGAATGGGCACAAATGTGGATCTCTTCCAATCAGTTAGCCAGGTAGCTGTCTTCCAAATTACTTGGCATAGATGAGTGTATGCCTCCATTTCTCCATCAGTTTGTTGAAAGATTTCAATTTGTAGTCCATCAATTCTCAAAGCCTTGTTTTTTTTTCCAGTGAATGGGCCTTAGGCTTTCTCCTTCCGTTTTATTGGTTCTAGATCATATTCTACCTCTTGAAATGGGTAAACATCAACCATTTATTTTTGATACAGTACCCCTGTGTATTCCTTCCATCTTTTTTTTTGATGCTTTCTGCATTGCTCAATATTTTGCTCATGTTGTTGTTGTCAGGTGCCATTGAGTCAGAACCGACTCATAGCGATCCCATGCACAGCAGAACGAAACAATGTCCGATCA